GTCCACGTGGACTGAATACTTGGCAGTTCATATTGGATGATTTTTACTAACCGAGTTTTATGATTGGCTGAAAAGTCATAAAATTGAATTTTGAAGTCATGTTACGGTGACGAATAGAATGCGAGCCGTCGTGTTGTAAATGTTCAGTTCAAGAACTGATCACGATTTGAGTGTTAAAATGCGATATTGGTGCAGTTATAATTACTTAACATTTTTGTTATCTGCTTAAAATGTGGCGTCCTTGGACAAGAACTGACAACACAGACTTTTTCCTGTGTTGTGATTCCAATAGCGCTGGTGAACAATGCGAAAGAGATACCAGTGAATAAGATTCGGATGCATTTGAATATTGAAACACATATATACACCAAGATATTTTATGTTTTTCACCTTATCAACTGTAGGACATGTGCATATCATTGGGGTTCGGCAAATAGGTTAGTGTATGTGAGCTTATTTTTGGAAGGTTGATCTTTATTGTGGGGGAAATGTTACGTATTTAGTTTTAGCGATGTTTAGGCTCAAAAGACTTGTGTTTAACCAAGAGAAAACAGATGTGAGTCCCCTTTCAGCTGTCTTAAGGACGTCGTCCCACGTATCGCCTAGAAATAACAGAGCTGTATCTTCTGCATAAGATATAATGCTGCCTTAGATGTTTTCAAGTTTGTAAATGTCATTGATGTATATCTAGAACAAAATTGAGCCAAGTACTGTTCTCTGAGGGACGCCCATGGATATAGGTAGTGGATCACTATAAATATTGTTGATTTCTACAATCTGATTTCTGCCATATAAGTACTTTTCAAAAAGCTTAAGGGTGATTCCTCTTACTCCAATGAATTCTAAATGCCTCAGTAAGATATGATGATTGACAGTGTCAAAGGTTTTCGCTAAATATAAAAAGACTGTTAGGCACTTTTTGCCAATATTGAAATTATTCCATATACTACAAACCAGTTGAAACATAGCATTTTCTGTTGACATATGTTCTCTGAATCCAAACTGGCATTCATTCAAGATATTATTTTTGTCTAGGTAATGAACAAGTCTATTTCTCAAGCATTTTTCGAAAACTTTAACGAAATTGTTCGTGATATTGATTGGTCTATGATGGACCTTGGCTTCTCATCTTGGACATACAGTATACCTACATGTTTATTTACTTTATTTGATTTAGTTTGTTATGGTGAATGAATATTCAGCATTATCACATTTACAGTAATACATTATTATTAAACTGGGCCACAGATTGTACAGGAACAACACACAGAGATAATTACCTGAACAAAAACTTTAATCAACGGCCACAAGAAAAAAAAGGGTGAGTTAAAACATTGCCTCAGAGAGCACAACGTACCTGTGAGCCTCAGAGTCTTCCTGAAAAACAATATCATTTGAAAAATGCCTTCAAAGGGAATAGGTATAGCGAAGGAGAATTCAAGCGGGTCGTACGACGCAAAAAAAAAAGTTAAATTAACCCCAACCAGGCTAGCCACAAAAAAAAGCATTCTTTCACTATATTGAAAATGTTACCGAACAATATTTAGGCCAACAAAAACTATCATAGAAAGTCAAAGGTCAACTAAGGACCCCAGAGAACCTCAAACAACACCTGGGGTTCACCGGATTCCTTGTAGCTGCGGAACCACGAAAAGGAGTGTAGGTACCCGTCTCTCTGAACACAGGGGAAATTTTCGCCTCTGTCAAACCGAAAAATCAGCTGTAGCCACACATGCTTTCGAGAAAGAACGCATTCATAATATCCCATTCGAAGATAAAGAAAAACCCGATAAATCTCAAAATTTGTATTCACGAGCATATAGAGAGGTAATATAAACAAAAAAAATACAGAGAAAATTTAAATAGAAAGAAAGAGACAATGAACATTAATAAAATCTGTCTACCTGTCCTCAATTATTATTATTGACCTTATTATCATCACTACAGTTGAGTTCAAATGAATTTGCAAATACCCTATATGACTTTCGACCTGTTTAATTTCAATGGAGGCCCGGCTGAACCAATTCCTGAATAGTCATTATTTCATATAACCAAATACTAATTAGAATACAGAAGATCAATACGTAACCCCATCTATATTTAAATTTCATTCGTCTAGACCTTGTTGCTATCCCAGTTATTTTCTTCCAAAGACCTTGAAGGGAGCAACTAGCAAACACATATAATGCCCCGATGTTTTCGTTGCACAACCCCAATCCCCGCTTTGAAACTCATAATTTTCGCCCACTTCTCGTGAGAATAAGCGCCTTTTATGCGAAAATGATTGCCATCCATTTCACGACTTTTCTGTAACGATCCGACGTCAAAAGCATAAAAAATGCCGATCGACACATAATAACCCGTAATAAACAGCCATCAGAGCATTGCGCCGAAAGAACTTTCGCCGCAATTTAGCAACCCTGAAAAAGCGATTTAATGATGTCACTTTTTGAAATATCGAACAAAAAAATCTTTGACAACTGAATAGAAATGAAGTGTCGACCAATATATACTATTTTAAACTGACATTGAAGAAGCTGGATCGTCAAATTCGAATAAAAAAAAATGTTTGAAATCGGCCAGCTGTCGCTCCCATACGAACGACAACTCTCAGAAGTTGAGAAACTTGTGCGAGCTGAGGACTAACGAGGTATTACCTTTTAACGTGTGATTTCTAACACGGTTGCAGAATCATCCCAGCTTCAACCAGATAAATTCTCTCGACAAAAATATATGGTCGTGGCGGAATCGAATCCACGGCCTTCCGATCGTGAGTCGGGCGCACTACCACCGCGGCCAATGCCACAATGAATCTGAAATTTGCTATATGACATATATTATCATTCACCTGGGTTGCTCCCACTGCCTGTTTTGGCCCGATTACCTGTGCCGGCATGATTACCTGTGTTGGCCCGATTACCTGTGTCGGTCCGATTACCGGTGCTGTCCCGCCTGCCTTTGTCATTATATCTGAATTATCATATGCTGAAGTTTGCTTTTGGGGTTATGCGATCTGTTTAATCTTTTGAAGTGGTAAGATGGATCTCCATGTTGCTGGTAATCTTCGCGCGTCGTCCCTCTTGTTCATACTACTGAGTCAATTTTTCATTGCTTGCTAGTCATTTTGTGCTCTCGAAATTTCGGCTTTGCCGAACTCCAAAAACCTGATTCGGTCTCTCAGCAAGCACAAAGTATGTGCTTTGCTGTTTCATCATTTTCCAAACAGAGGCAACACACATTGTCTTCCGACAGTCCGAGTCTCTGTATAGGATGATTCAAATGACAGTGACCTGTGAGAAGGCCTGTTGTACATCGTAGTTCATCCTTACTGTAGTCCAACAACTGTTTGGTTTCAATCTTCGTAGGGAGAATGAACGCCTTGGAGTGAGCCAATACTGGAAGATTCTCCAGAAGTCCATAAATCTTCTTGCCATCCAGGTGTTCAATCTTTGTTTGGCAAAGCTTAAAGCGATGCCAATGATAGGTTCTGGTCCGATGAAGCTGCTTGCAATGCCCTCCTTCGCAAGGGAGTCAGCAGCCTCATTGCCTTACAGGCCAGTATGGCCAGGAATCTAGACCAGAGACAATCTGTTAAGCCTTCCTATCGAGGAGAGTCGTTTTTGGCAATTTGATACCAATTTAAACGATGCTCGGTAGAAGCCAAGAGCTTCCAAGGCTACTTGACTGTCCAAGGAATATTTTAATTACTTGTGTATGAGGTTGGATTCTTCCAATCTCTCCGTACACAATTCAATAGCGTAAATTTCCGATTGAAATAGTGTCGCATAGGTTCTTAGGGCAGGTTGATATCTTTGTCCTGGGTCTCCGACTGAAAACACCTGCACCAGAACCAAAAGGTGTTTTTGATCCATCTGTGAACCAACAACTATCTGCTCTGACGTGATGTATTAGTTACTTGAAAGTGGTCTCATAAACCGGAACCGGTCGTAATAAATAATGAATTTAGTAGAACTTAGACAGACAATAGTTATTCCCTTTATTTTATATTCAATATACATTTCTACAAAATGAATAGGTCATCAATCGAACAAGAACAAATTCAATCAATCAAAATCGTTGGCAGTTTGTCCAGGCAGTCTGTCAAATACTTAGCCACCTCAGTGTACCGCAAGGGTCAGATCAGTTAATAACATTGTATGCAGATGACTTGAAACTACGAAACATGATGTCGCCTTAAGTTTGAGATTGTTGCCACATGATGACCAAATAACATTCCCAAATGTAACATAAGGTTTTATTGATCGAAAACTAACCCTCAACTACACCACAGACAATCACATTTTGGAGCATCCTGATATCTTAACTGATCTAGTTGTGATATTCGATTCATCCCTTCCGTTTGATAAACATATTAGCAACTGTCTCACCACAGCTTATTGCTTGTATGGATTACTAGTTGGAAATATTCGAAATTTCAAAGGCACTCCATCACTCAAATTATCAACTTGTGGGAATTTGATCTTCCTCTTAAAGATGATCACTTAGTGATCAAAACACGTGTCGAGGTGTTGAAATAACGGTTTGGTGTTGAGAAAAAACTCCAGTAATACTCAAATTATTGTTTCACACACTCGTTCGATCTCAGAATATTCCCAATATGCTTCTATTTTGTGCAGTTCCTTCTGTTTGGTCCACAATAGTCAATGAAAAGCCGTTCAAAGGTCCTATTTGAAATATATGTTGTTAACTTGATGGCACCTAACCTAACCCAACCTAACCTAACCTAACCTAACTTAACCTAACCTAACCTAACCTAACCTAACCTATCTACCAATACCTGCCAATAATATTGCTCTCAACTATTACTAATTTTTTGTGTTTCTAGAGTCTAGAGTATTGCCCAGAAGTGTTAGTACTTTTCATTCATGTGCCCCACGAACATATACTATACGTGATACCAGCAATTGTACTAATAGTGTAGAATAGTGTAACAACAATAAATGAACAAGCTGTTCCCTAGCTCTTTGACTAATACTCACCCCTCGATAGGAAGGAGCCACGATCAAGTATGTGTCGATGTTGTGATCCTTGAGGTAGGAATTGCGCTCCCCTCCATTGCCAGGCTCCACTACGTAATCGTTTCCAAGACATTTCAACGTCTCCTTGGTGATGTGTACTCTTCTGTAACAGACACCGACAGAGTTTATTAGGTGCATGTTTGAGACAGTGATTAGTTCAACATCTTGTACAAGAATCACGCTCTATCGCACGAATTTTATGAAATTTAGGATTCGAAATCCGTTTCTCCACGTTTAATATAATAATTTCATCATTTTTTCCAAGTGGAAGAAGACGCAATCTTGCAATGTGAAATAATTTCAATTTGAGGAATGAAGAAACTAGCGAATCGGAATATATTATCCCTATAATGGTTGCCAGGATATGGAAATCTGTTATGGGATCAGTACTGCAAAATACATTAGATTTCACATATAGTAGGGGGGCATACTCGAAAACTGGCTGTAAATTAAATTATCTGAAAGAACATTTCGTTCGGATATGCGGTTGGATATGGTTCAAGCCGTGTTAGGAGAAAAGGCAGCCAAAAAAATTTAAAAAATTCCACTGTCAAATAACACAGTAAAAGGACGAATTGACGATATGTCTAATAATATTGAAGAACAACTGGCTTTGAAACTCCAAGAATGCACTTATTTTGTAGTTCAAGTTAATGAAAGCACTGATGTTCAAACATGGCGCAGCTACTTGTTTTCGTGCGATTTGATTATAATGAAGAGGTAATACAAGAGTTTTTTTTCCGCAAACCACTTGAATCAAATACCACAGCAGAACTCATTTTTAAGGTAATTGATAAATATGTGCTCAAAGTAGGCATTCCCTCGTCCAAGTATATTGGCTTGTGTACCGATGGGGAAAAGCTATGTCAGGAAAATTGACAGAGTTAGCAGCAAAAATGAATGCAAAAGTACGCATTGTGTCATCCATCGAGAAACAATAACTGCTAAAGGTATGCCGGAAAATCTTAACCCCGTTCTATCAGATGCTGTGAAAGTTCTTAACTTCATAAAGACTAGGGCTCTAAACACAAGATTATTCTCCTTGATGTGTGAAGAAATGGGTGGCAAGTTCAAAACTTTACTCCTGCATACAGAAGTGAGGTGGTTATCTCGCGGGAAAATTTTGAACCGTCTCTTTGAACTGAGATCAGAAGTTATCGTGTTTTTAAGTGAATAAAATCATGACATGAAAAAATTGTTTGCTGATGAAGAATGGTTGTCAAGATTGTCTTACCTAGCCGACATTTTTGACAAACTGACTTGGGACTTCATGGACCAAACACAACAACCTTCACATCCAGTGACAAAATAAACTCTTTCAAGAGAAAGTTGGTCCTTTTTTGTTCACAAATACAGAAGGAGAATTTATCTGCATTCCCCACTCTATCATCATTTTTTGAATAAAATGAAATATCCACATTGGCAGATGTGGTTGCAGATATCATTGTTCACATTGTACACTTAAGAAGTATTTTAAATATGAAGTTTTCTCAGGAATTTAATTGAAAAAGCCTTTGAACACTTTCAGAAGAGTAAATATTATACGTTTATTGAAATATTTAGGTCTCGTGGTACGCCAATATTTCTCAAAAAATCAAGTGGTACGCAGGTGCAAAAAGGTTGGGAACCCCTGGTGTAATGAATGAAAGAGATACAATTTCACCTACGTGGAACACTGTCATCCTCAATGGCGCAAATCTGATGTTTCGGAATGAGACACTTACCTTATTGCCTCTTCAGCATCAATATATATTACATTTAAAAGGTGGAGCACACCATTCATTCATTAAATTACGACTTTATGTCACGAATGAGTTGAATCTACTCATGTCATCGATGACAGTACGTAATGAGATTCATTTGCTTATTTGATTGAATCCCAGCCATAGAAATCTTGTTTGAACTGAAAGGGGAATATTTTCAGGAGAGATTGATTTTTGGGATAGAACGGTTTTGGCTTCCTACTTCTCCATCTCCATAAAAAAATATTCCCCTTTCCATTCAAACATCCACTTCAATTCTACTTAGCTGTCATGATCTGCAACTTCTTAAATTCAATCAATATGAACATCGAAAAACGGATTTCTGAACTGTAAGCAAGGTATCCCTCCTGAGTGAATTTATCAACTGTCAAATTTTCCACCTACAAACTTCAGACATGATTATGACATCGTTCTGGCGATCCGTATTATTTTATTCCGAACTGGGAATCCGAATTGAAATTCCGAGAATTTCCAGTGAAGTTGCTGAGTTCTTTTTCATGTCAGCTTGACGAGAGAAAAGTATTTCTGCTGGGGTATGTATCTCGTAGCTCTAACCTTCGGTTCAGAGTTGATCGAGAAGTTTTGTTCGATCGGGTGTCAGAGGTGAAAGTGGAAAGTTCCATGTATAAAAATACTTTTTTAGCTTTCAGTATCATTGGTGAGAGAACGAAGTGGACTCAAGAATGTTCATTTCAACCCTTGAAGTTCCTCATGGAAAAATCATAAAGTCCCGTCATAAAATACAATATAGGGGAACAGAAGGTATAACAGACCAGTTGAGGAAAAATCAATGTAACATATAAAATAAAATCTTTATTCTTCTTACTTTGTTATTATATAATTGAGCATTTTTTAATCAAACTTATTATTGAGGATCACTTGAATCAAATCACAGATATAGAAGATATTGGATGATTTCCAAAACCCTCGGTTTGGTCCATTCTGCCTACACGTGAAGGTAAAATGAACCAGTCATGAAGGCAAAATGGAACTATGGCAACATAAGAACGAAAAAAAAAATCTACTGTTTATTCAACTGCACACCTTTTGCAAACAAATCTAACATCTTCATCATTATCTTTGACACCGACACAACTACAGTGTGCCCATAAAGAACATGCGGGGCACTGTACTCGGCCTTCTGTTGATTCAGAAAATAAATGAGAGCAATAGAAACATCAAACGTCTTCTTTACCTTCGCTAGATGAGTCTTTACTTTTCTTTTTAGAGTTCTTCTTTGTATATTTCCCCTTTCCTTTTTGAGTGTTTGTTTGTTTCCCTATCCCCTTCTTTCCATTAAAAATATTCTGTTATACCTTTGTTGCGTTTTCTTTCGTTTCCTGTGCTTTTTTAGTAGCTTCTAATTCTTCGCGATGGGGTGATGATGTTATTTCAACTGTCTTTCCTCGCTTAATATTAGGTCTGGTCCGTTCAGAAGTTCTAGGGATGGCCATGATATCTTTTGAAGCAATAGAAAAGGATGTACTCATAGATGGATGTTGCTCATCATTGCTGGTTAGATATTTATTTTGGGAAATTCTCTGATCACTTGATGCTGATGGCGGTGGTACAGCGGTGTTCAAATCTTTATCAGTCATTGATAACAATGGTTCAGTGACACCTTCATTGCTAGATGTGCCAGGTTCTAGAGGTAGTGTCATATTTATTTGAATAGCTGAATGATCGGCAGTTACTGATGATTCAGGTTCGTCGATGATGAGCGCTTCTTCGGGTTGAATCATCGATGGTCCTGATTCGTTATCTCTTGACGTTGATTCTGGCATCTCAATATCAGTGGTCGCTGCTGACAAAAACTCTGCTTCTGTGAACACGTTAAGGTTCAACGGCCAGATGCCAGTTGCTCGAAAAGCATTATAAAGTAGTTAAGAATATTACTGGAGTTTTTTCCAACACCAAATCGTTATTTTCAACAACTCGACACTTGTTTCGATCACCAAGTGATCATCTTCAAGAGGAAGATAAAACTGGAAACTATTATGTTAACTTACTTCTACACTCTCATAGGCATCTAGTTGCCTGTTGTTGTCAACTTGTCTAACTAATCCTAATGAACTGAAGTCTATGGAATGGTTTTGTTGCAAAATATGATGGGCGACTGCTGATATTTCAGGTCTTCCATATTTTAAGTGTGCTATGTGCTATATGCCTTTTGTATCAACAATATGAGGCATACTTTTTGGTACCGTTGTCATGCCCGTTTCATCGACATTGAAGATTCGATCTGGTGTCAATTTATACTTTGTTGTTATATCTGTCAATAAATCGAGAAACCATTTAACCTGAACTTGGTTGAATCCAGATGCTCGAGCTGCTGAAGTGGGTTCTGGTTTTCATAGACTTAAGTCTATGAAATTTCAAGAAATTTCCGAGCCATATTCTTCCAGCCATTTTTATCTCATGGCAGAAATTGTGTTGTAGTTTATTTTGTTCGACTAGCTCATATGCGATACGCCTGAGATCTTTTGTCGTTAAACCAAAAAAGCGATTTTCCATATTTTTGACATAGGATGCTAGTTCTCTCTCTTGTTCGACATTTAAAATCTTTTCATACCTGCCCATTTTCTTTTCCGTAGCTACAATTAGGTATTTGGTGCTTTCATATTTGGTGAGTCTTCATATTAATGTAGTCTTTGGAACATTAAATGTGGCGGCCGCTTTAGGCCCTATTTTACGCGAAGCTACATTTTCGATGGCATGCCCTCCTCACGCCAATATTGTCGGTTCGACTTTCTTTTATAGTTGTTAACCATCTGAAATGGAAATACGTATTTTTAATATAAAATTATGTATGTATAATTACAAACTAATTGCATTGAAGGTAAAACGGATCACGTGGTCCATTTTGCCCGTTCCGTTTTGCCTTTTCGGTAGGCATGTGAACAATAAATTATTTTGAGGTTAAGATTCAGGAGAGTCTTGTCTATTCAATGTTAAAACTAAGTAAAACAAAAAATATATCATACAATAATACAATATCCCTAATATCTTAAACGTAATAAATCTGAAGGCAGATCAAAATTTGCAGTTTTTACATCAAAATACGTAAAAATTAACTTACCTTGATAAAAACATGTGCCGTTGCACGGCCGCTTCAAGGACACTGACCATCTTTAAGTGAAAGTCGACTGTCAAGTTGACGCAAGTCGATAGTAGATGGCGTTAACCGTTTGAAAGTTATTAGTCTGGTCCGTTCTACCTGCAGGGTCCGTTTTACCTTCCGTTCCCCTATGAGGTCTGTTCAAGAAATAAGGTGAAGGTTCAAACTTCGCAGGGTATGTACATTCGATTAACGATTTTTTATGTTGGCACACTAGTTTTGAACACATATACACAGTGTCAGCTGTTTAGCATGTTGAGTTTATTGGTGACAGACTGACGTTAGTCACACTCGTGGAAGTTTGAGTAGCCATTGAATATTATTCCTTGACTATTCTACACAGGTTAGAATTATAACTGTACTTATTTTTTTATATACTGTGATCAAGTTAGTTTTACTCAAATCTGTAGTAACTATTTTATATTGATTATTTTATTTACATTTTATGTCACCCGCATGATTATGCGATATGTTTTGATTTTTTTTATCTTATTCCATCTGTTTGTTAGTTCTATACATTTATACTCGTATTATTAGCTCTACTTCATTCACTACATCTGTGTATTCCAACTATTCTGTCGGTTATGCAGTGCTTTCCTTTAATGCCCCCCCTTATTTTTTGAACGGGTCAACTCAAAAAATTGAAATTTGGGATAATAATATTAATGCATACTTTATTTTAACATGAAATTGACAGATGAAAATTCCAAGATGGCGACTGGGCGCCAAATGGGAAAAAAATTAAATGGGAAGAGGGGGGTCCTGTGACACATCTTTTTGAGGCTCCTGACAAATGCTTCACAATTCTAGAATATAATGTCAATATCTTCAACTACTACAAAATGGCGGAACTTTTAATAATTGCCTGAATACATTGAAATTCAACTATATAATATGAGGTAATAAGCTTGAGGTCAGTTCAGAAAATGCTCGAAATGGTGGCTTTGAACTTCTTGACATATGAACAGATTATCCGATATTTCACGCCGAACATTTTCGAACACAGTTTCTCTACAAATATTTATTATTCTCTGCCGAATATCCAATATTGAAGCACGTTCAGTTTCGTACACCTTTTGCCCCATAAAAAAAGTCGAAAGGTGTCAATCTGGCGAGCGGGCTGGCCATTCTATAGGACCTAGACGGCCAATTCAACGATCGGGAAAAGTTGTATACAAATAGTTTCTTACTTGTCTGGAGTAATATGGTGGTGCTCCATCTTGTTGGAATACAATATCCATATCAAATTCATTGGGATTCACTTCGACAATTGCAGTGATGAGAGGGTCACCATTAGTTTCCACCATATTGAAATACAGTTCCCCTGTTAAATTTTGATCAATAAATAGAGGTCCTACAATATGGTTTCCCAATATTCCTGGCCAAACGTTAATTTTTTCTGGATATTGGGTACGTGTTTCCCGGAAAACGTGAGGGTTGGTGTCACTCCAATAACGGCAATTTTGTCTGTGAATATTGCCGTTAAAAAAATGTACATTCGTTACTGAAACAGATATTGTGGAGATAGGTAGGATGCATTGCAATGGTTTCTGTCATGATTTCGCAGAATTCTGTTTTCCGATCAGGATTATCTTCAATTAATTAGTGAACCATTTTAGTTTTGTATGGATGATACCTATTCGTCTTCAAAAGTCTTCACACAGTAGAAGGAGACACCTCACAAACATTCGCGTCGGAATAAGTAGACGGCACCCAGCCGCCATCTTGAAAGTTTCATCTGTCAGTTTCACTTCAAAATAAAGTATTCATGCAATAATTCAATTATCAGAAATTTCAATTTTTTGATTTGACCTGTTCAAAAATTAAAAGGGGGGGACATTACAGAAGTGCACTGTAAACCAGGAAACATTTATTGAGATACAAATGTATTAAAACACATGACATAAAAACTGAGAAAACTTTCGAAACAGCCAAATACTTTGAATATATTTTCGAAAAGGTACTCACCCAGGAATCCCCCCACTTTCCATGTAATTAGCAAGTGTGACGTCATTCGACCATACGTCGAACTGCCATTTTCTGAGTCCCAGCACTCCACAGTGTACCCTACCTGTGTGAATTCCCACTCTCATGTTGACATTGACGTTCATCACTCCTCTCACCAACCTTAAACAAACGTCATACCAAATTTCAATACCACATTGTACCTACAACTATCTTCATCATTTTTTTTTCTCCTGCTAATGAGTTTTATACACATATGCATTTCATAGCAGATTCATTATCAAAAGCATAAAAACTGATGTTTTTGATTTGGATATCACTAAGTACAGAAAAAATAGAAAGAGTTAGAATGAATTTCACTTTGAACTCTGTGGAAAGTGGAATTAACCAAAAGACCTTCACGTTTCATTAATTTCATTATCCGAGACTGAGATATTTCTCTTTTGCTGTTTATTCTATTTTCATGAAAAGTTTATTTTCTCTTGCCGTATCATCAGAAGATTCTCTCTGTGGCAAAATCTAATATTTTTAGTCTCACAATAATTTTTCATCTGTTAATTAATGTCATACGCCACAATGCCTCATAAATTTGCGGAAGGGGACTGTGTTTGGAAAATCTTAAAGCTGGACATGGACCTTCCTGTTTTTGTTACCTAATATATAACGAAGGGAACTATCATGTATACGATTTTCAGATGATTTGTTCCTAGATTTAGTGTCATTTAGAGAAGAGGTAGATGGTATTCATCGATGATAAGAACAATCCCAAGAATATCAATAATACCCAGAGATGGAAAATAAATGGCAATCAAATGAATTATTTGAATCTGAAGAAATTAACTTTAAACGTTCAAGCCAGTCCCGGATATACATACACAGTAGGTTGAATGGACTGACGCCTATCAGAAAACAACTACTCCCTTGGCTAATACCATGTAGGGCGTTGGATTATATCCGACAAGCGTCAGTGCAGGAATCTTCACAGAAATTTTCCTACATATACAATTGGCAATACAACTTGAAGAGTTGACCTTCAATTTTGGAACGGGCACACGTGCAGACTGGTTTCGGACTTATTAGCCACTCGTCAGTGCAAGATACTGGTCATCATCGACCTAAAGTCAATGATATTCCATAATTGAAAATTGGAATTCTTTCAGAGTATTTCATTCCTCTTCCTATAAGTTGGAGCGAACAACAAAATGTCACTCCATCTAGTGGACGAGCTACTAACTAACTGTATATCCGAAATTTGCCCGATTCCTCTAAATAAGGAAGAAAAACTTTCTTATTAGTCAGTGGGCTATGCTTGAAGACTGGCGGTAAACAAATCTAAAGAAATAAACTTCAAACGTTCAAGCCTGACTCGGATATACCTACACAGTAGGTTGACTGGACGGACGCCTATCAGAAAACAACTGCTCTCTTCCTTATTCAGAGAAATCGGGCAAATTTCGGATATGCAGTTGGTTAGTAGCTCGTCCACTAGATGGAGTGACATTTTGTTGTTCGCTCCAACTTATAGGAAGAGGAATGAAATACTCTGAAAGAATTCCGA